AGGAGGGATTATGTTCTGATCCCTTACTAAAAAAGATTATCTGATGTAAGGCTCGAATACTGACGAAATTCTTTGGCCATTGTGTTAGAAGGATATTGACTAAGATTTAATATATGTATGTGCATTTGTGCTGTATTAAACTTTTTTTTTTTTTTTTTTTTTTTTTGTGGCTATATAAGTAGAAGGACACCAATAATACTTCAACAGTTCCTATAAAGATTACAGCTAATTAATATGTTAATTATGGAATCTTTAAAAGGCACAAGAAATTGTATATAAAAGATACCCTATTGGAGACCACATGCAGAATTGCAGTTAAAAAAAATATTTTATAAAAATGAATAAATTAAGAATTGAAAAGGTGATTGAATGCATATGTAAAGTTACGTTCTTGGTTTTGACTGAGATTATAGTTAGAACTTATGAGTTAAGTTAAGCTCGGTAAATATATATAGGTTTTTTAAGCTACCAATCAGGTAACCAACACCGATGTTACGGTTTTTTTTTCTTTTTTTTGGGTATGTACTACATAAGAAAAATCAAATTTATTAATACAAAAATTCGTAAGTAAAACACTGAAATCCATATATATTTAAGTTATAACTATTTAATTTGTTACTAGATTTATTGTTATCTTATTATTTTTTTATTATTATAGCGACAGTTATTTAGGTATAACCAATGTTTATTTGTACTGCTGAATACGGAATACTATTAATGCTAATACTGACAATACAATGTAAAATTAAATAGCATACATAGTTATACCTAGTACGAAAGATCTAGTAAGGTTTGACACTGCAAAACTCTAATGTTTTAAAATTTTTATGACATTTCTGACCACCTATAGTCTGAAAATTAGGAAAGGAAACCTAATCAACCAAAATTTTTAACCATTAAAAAAAGTGGTTGCCTTATAGGTGTTCACACGGGCAATGTTGTAGAAGGCGCTATGCGCTAGTCGATCGTCCGAGGGGAGCCTAGCGCCCAGGCGATCGAGTAATTGGAGTATATCATTTCCACTTTTTCCACTCAGAGTTGTGAATTGTTAGGTTATTATAATCCTACAAACTAGTCAACTATATATGTTAGATGGTTAGTTCAGTACATAGCTGGAGGAATATAGAAGAGGAGCAATTCAGCATCAAAAAATACAACTTGGCCGAGTTGGGCGCTGACTCATCCTAGTTGGGTGCCAACTAGGCAGAGTTAGGCGCCCAACTCAGCGCCTATGGCACCTACTAGTCGACCAGTCAAATGGCGCCTAGGGCTGAAATCGCTTCGGCCTAGAGGCGCCTAGGCCAATTTTACAACACTGCACACGGGTGGTCAAGTCAATAATACCAAGATCAAAGTTATTTTGTGGAGGTAAAAGTGGCCGAAAACATGTTTTTTCACCGAATTGAAATACGTGAACTTTTATATATCTCGAATTTGCAACAAAAACCCAAACCCCTCGCCCCAAGGATCCCAAAAGTAAAACCTCTCGCGCGTCTCAAGGGTCTTCACTTCACACCTCATCCGACAAGATAGTGGAGGAGTAAATCAGACGTGCAAATTTGGATGACAGAGATTTTATGGGACAGTAAAATCTTTAGCATAAAGTTGAGGCTGGGAGATGGTATATGGAACAGACGTGAGAGGAAACCACTCGGCCTAATCGGCTGTCGTCATGTTATTCCATTTTCATCTGATCCCAGCATTTGGTATATATATACATATTTTTCTCGATCTTGATCACAGTAGTACAGTAAATACTGCAACTTTGCATCAATCCCACGTACGTACTCCCACAATTCACACAAAATGGACGCCGGTAATATAATCCCCTCCTTTTTCTCCCACCTTCGCTTAGCAGACATCTAGGATCTCATCTGCAGCAATTTAATGAAGCTCCTTCAAGAATTTGTTTCTTGTCTTTGACCTTCCACTGTGCCACGCAGCAGCATATATCGCCGCCCAACTTGCCATTCTCACTGGATTTCATGTTTTATCACAAAGATATGAACACTCAATTCTGCCCAGATTTCACCTCACTGATCTAATTGAATCACCAATGCGCCAGATTAGACACCTAAAGAATAACATGACAGCGAGCCGAAAAACACAAGTAATGTCACAGAGGTTTTAGATAAAACCTTAAACAAGTTAAGGATGCTGTTTTGTAGTTATCTTCTTTAGGGAAACCCGCATTTACTACCCGAAGTAGGCACTGAGTAAATCCCGCCTTGTGATCCTAGCTAGCTGGCAAAAGACGTAAATCAGTCTAGCTTATTCATAACTGGCCGGTTCAATCCTAATCGTCAAAGGACGTAAACCAGCTTAGGTTTGCCCATAGCTGACCGGCTCAACCTTAGCTGGCAAAAGGACGTAAACCAGCCTAGGTTGTATAATAATATTCCTTAATTAGTTTCACAATCGGACGCAACGAATGTTCCTTTTTCACAAAACAAATTACAATATATAGATGCGAAACATGCACCTTAACAAAATCCGTTACAATATAAAGTTAAGATATATTTTGATTCAACATCATATTGCTTTGTTGAATTAATGATGGGAGGTTTTAACTATTAATTTCTCCATTCTTAACAAATGAATAATTATTTGAATGATGCGGGCATATATATAGTTACTAAAATTCTTTCATTTCACAACACCATCGTTTAGATTCTGCTGTCACAAAATAAATTATAATAAAGACAAAACATGTACCTTAACAAAATTAGTTATGACACAAAAGATATATTATTTGGATCAAATTTAACATCGCTTTGTCATATATCCCATATAAATGGGAATTAAGCAATCCAAGATCATAAAAGAATAAGATTTTCTTTTGTTTTTTTGAGGTGGTAGGAGAAGTGAAAGTGCAAACCAAGTATAATGCGCACCATGAATCACATAGACTTGCAGACTATAGGAGAAAAATTAAAGATTGGGTCCGGTTGCTCCACCATGAAGGACCCCATATGCCTGCAGCTTCTTTATTTATTTATTTATTTTTATATTTTATTTGTTTTTTTTTTATTTTTTTTTTTTTGTGTACTCAGGATTTTCACAGTCAGACACAGTGACTAATCCCCTTACTGAATTGTGGGTACATCTTTTGGGTGGGACAGCTGACCTGGAGATTTAAGGGTGCTCCATACTCAAAGCCAAGAATCAAACCCTAACCTTTGATTAAGGATAGATGAGTCCATTCCACTCACACCCCAAGTTGTTGTTTTTTTTATTTTTTTATTTTTCTCTGAGTGCTCTGCAAAAACAATATTTTTATGGACAGGAATTGGAATCAGATTGATGGGCTCTTCCTTTAATCATTTCTATTAGCTTTCTCATCTGGTCTCTGTTAGTGTAAAATACACAAGATAATAAAGCGACCATTTTTAAAAGGAGTGGCTGAAGCTACCAGGCTCACTACTTTTTCTTTACACCCTAATACAAGTACCAAAATGTCCAACAAAATGTTTGAACGATTAAACCTTGATGACGGTCTTAAGTTTTTTGTCCATTAGGATGTGACTCTAAGTGCTACAATCTTTTAAAGGTGAGAGTATATTTTGTAACTTTTAATAGTGTAGACCAAAATGATTAATCATGAGTAATTAAGAGGGTAAATTTGAATTTCATAACAATAAATAAGTAATTAAGAATACTTATGTGGAGGAGATTGGACCGGTGCTCACATGCACACATATATATGTATATATAGCTAGGTAGCCTAGATCAGCAAATCTTGTCAAGATAGTGTCATCAAGAAACTATTTCAGTGTGGTGTATTTGTGCTGATTTTGTAAAACCATGATGTTCCAGTTTGAAGAGATTGTGTACAAGGTTGGAGGGGAAGACAAGGGATCATGCTGCACGGGGAAATCGAGTGCCAGAGAGAAGACGATTCTGAATGGAGTGACGGGTATGGTGTGTCCGGGCGAGATACTAGCCATGCTAGGTCCATCGGGGAGTGGGAAAACCACCCTGCTAACGGCCCTAGGAGGGCGTCTCTATGGCAAACTATCGGGGAAGGTCACCTACAACAGCCAGCCGTTTTCTGGCTCCATCAAACGCCTAACTGGATTCGTGGCGCAGGATGATGTTCTATACCCGCATCTGACAGTGAAAGAAACGCTTCTGTTCACAGCGCTGCTGAGGCTGCCCCAGAGCCTAACCCGGGAGGAGAAATCGCAGCACGTGGAGAGTGTGATCACCGAGCTGGGGTTGAGTAGGTGCCGGAACAGCATGATAGGAGGGCCACTGTTTCGGGGAATATCGGGTGGGGAAAAGAAAAGGGTGAGCATAGGCCAAGAGATGCTAATCAACCCGAGCTTACTGCTTCTAGACAAGCCTACTTCCGGGCTTGACTCCACCACCGCTCTCAGGATCATCACCACCATCAAGCGGCTCGCCACGGGAGGCAGAACCGTGGTCACCACGATCCACCAGCCGTCTAGCCGCCTCTACCATATGTTCGATAAGGTAGTCTTGCTTTCAGAAGGCTGCCCCATCTATTACGGCTCTGCACCAAATGCCCTCGAATACTTCTCTTCCATCGGTTTCTCTACGCCTCTCACTGTCAACCCAGCTGATCTGATGCTTGATCTCGCTAATGGTAACCTCAAATCCCATCCTTTTTTGTACTGAAACCGACAAAAACATCAGGCGTCGTGTTCTAAGACAAGTCCCGAAATTTCAGGTATAAAACCAGATTCCAGCAATGTAATAGAGCAAGGCAACAGCACGGAACAGGAGCGCCAATCTGTTAGATAAACTCTCTTGTCTGCTTACGACAAGAACATTTCGACAACATTGAAAACCGAGCTATGCAATCTTGATTCCCACAGCTACAACTATGCAGTGGATGGTTCTAGAAGTAAGTTTCTTTCGGGAATTATATCTCTCGAGTTGGTGATCCAGAAGTTAACGAACGTGACGATGCAGGATCTCAAGCGAAAGGAGAGCAGTGGTGCACGAGCTGGTGGCATCAATTCAAGGTCCTCCTTATGAGGGGGCTAAAAGAGAGGCGATATGATGCCTTCAACAGGCTAAGGATCTTCCAAGTCATAAGCGTCGCTTTTCTTGCTGGGCTTTTATGGTGGCGCACTCCAACTTCCCACATTGCAGACCGAGTAAGCGCCACATTGCTAACCATCTCGATCACCTCCCGTTTTTAGCAAACTAATCTCGTACACTTTCTTCATGCAGGTCGCGATGCTATTCTTTTTCGCTGTCTTTTGGGGGTTCTACCCACTCTACAATGTGGTTTTCACGTTCCCTCAGGAAAGAAGAATGCTAATCAAAGAAAGATCATCGGGAATGTACCGCCTCTCGTCCTACTTTCTGGCGAAAACAGTGGGAGATTTGCCACTGGAACTAGCATTACCAACCGCATTCACCTTCATCCTTTACTGGATGGGAGGGCTCAAACCCGAGCCTCTCACCTTCACCCTCTCCCTTCTCATAGTCCTCTTCAGCGTCCTCGTTTCCCAAAGCCTGGGACTCGCGTTTGGCGCGATACTCATGGATGTAAAACAAGCCACGACACTAGCATCAGTCACAACGCTAGTCTTCTTAATAGCGGGCGGATACTATGTTCAGCAAATCCCCCCGTTCATTCTTTGGCTCAAATACTTGAGCTACAGCTTCTACTGCTTCAAGCTTCTTCTCGGGGTTCAGTACAACGATAACGACTACTACGAGTGCTCAAAAGGACACTACTGCCGCGTTGCAGACTTCCCCGGTGTCAAAGCTGTGGGCTTTAACCATATGTGGGTGGACGTGTCCGTTATGGCAATGATGCTCGTGGGCTACCGGTTTATCGCCTACCTAGCACTCCACCGTGTTCGATGAAGCTCATCACCAGCATAAAAGACAATAACCACACTCTCGAGTCTCAACAAAGAAGCCAGTTAGAAGACGAGTTTTACATCCCTTCAAACTGATCAGTAATAATGTAGAACTTAGGTTATAATCCCCCCATTTTGCCAGATTTTGATCATATACCCCACCACCCAAAAACCCAAAAAAAAAAAAAAAAAAGGATTCCACCATATTTCTGGCAATGACTTTACATCAGACTGACCCAAAAGCTCAACTGTTCTGTGAAATAAACCAGTTGTTATAAACAGAACAAAGATGCATAATGCTGTGATAAAGTAAAAGATGGGAATCCACTAACCTTGAAGACTCAAGTCATGAAGTGCTCAGCATATCTGCACTCAGAATCCTTGTGGGGTCTCTGAAATCACATAAAAACTGCTTTAAAGTAATAAGTTTCACATTTCCATTGACTGCATAAAGAGAGAGCATTTCCCACAAATGACTCAATAGTTTAGTTGTGTCTAGATGATGTCTCCTTATTTTTATGAATAATCTTCTCCCTAATTCCATGTTTTTTACCCTATTTTGTTCCTGTCCTGTGATATCATTTTTATCCATAAAAGAGATCAAAAACAAGAAAAGTGCAATCTTAGTGTCAATCAAGATCAACGGTTTACGGGGCAACCCCAGCCAAGTTGGTACTCACCACAAGGTTACAAGTTTGACTCTTAGCGGGAGCAGCCTATTAGCTTTCTTGGTTTGAACTGGTCATCTGCTCAGCTATGGATAACTTAAACTGGTTAATTCTTTGCTGGCTAGGGTCACAAGACAGTTCACTATAACTAATAGCGAGAGTGCAATTATATTTACTTATACTTGCCTAACTACCGGCGTGTGTTGCGTTTCGAATCCACACCAGACGGTAGGGCGTTAGACTTGGCTCTTTAGACCGCCACCCAGCAATTTGAGGTTTCATATACTGCAAAATACCATCATCTTTCACAAGGCAACTTCTACATGAAGAAATGCAAACCTATCAGTCTTGCACCACATTGGATGATTGGAAAGATAACAGACTAGAAAAGATCATATCAATACAAAAGTGGGAATACCAGTCAGGAAAAAGGAGGGTTCATACTGGCCTGCAATCCTCTTTATCAAAATTTCAAGAATTCCTTGGAACTGCTCCAGAAATCATCAATAGCACACAGATCTGCACAGACCACTGGATGTGGAAAACACTACTGGGTGGAGGCCCAAAACAAGAAATGATGCCTCAAATCCTTATCATTTCCTACTTTAGTATATATCACTCACTACCCAACAACACTCCTTTATCTGACAGTGAAAGGACAAGTCCGTATAGAATCGTCCTTTTCATCAGTAAATTAAGCAATTCTGGTTTAATTTCCCATCACCATAAAAGCGACGAAAGGCTACTGTTGATGAAGGACGAAAAACAACAACTGCAGTTGCACTAACAGAGCCAGAAGTGCCCATCAACTGTACAATGCTGTCCCAGGCTACTGAACACAACACTCCGATTGCCCCACGGGGCTAGCTCGGGTGGATGTCGGGTTACCCTAAAGTCTTGCTCTAGGGGCAGTGTGGGAATTTGAATCTCACGGGAAACTTGGGGGTCATTGGCGAGGACCCCAAGTCCACCTGGGGACTGATGGGCCACTCGCGATTTACTGTGGCTCTTGGGCAGGGATTCTGTAGCCTTAGATTAGTCTAGCGTAAACTGAGAAACCTAATATATCGAAAAAAAACATAACACTCCGATTAGGATACTAAATGCACAACACATTATCCATACTTTCAAGTTTCAAGTTTCAAGCCCAGCAAGTATCATGAATTAAATTGCTAGGTTAGATACACATTAGATGAATGAGAGCATGATATTCTAGCCAAACAAGAAATAATGTCTGTCAAATGCTGGGAATGTGATGCAATATCCATAGATTTCAACGAATGAACAACTGCAGACCATAAAGATGCAATCTTGCAGAGTTGCAGATCATAAAGATGCAGTTTTGCAGATAATTATGCTTGTGTCAGGCAACAGAAATTTCAACCTAGGATTGTCAATTCATTCAATCCAAAAAGATTTCTAAGTCATAGATGATAGTATTAGATGTAAGGCTATTAGGCTAAACTCACCCACAACATGATACAAGCACACTTGTAAGACTATTAAAGATCACAGTTCCATTCAATGAAGAATGTGATACCTACTTGGAAAAAGATGGGTATGCAGAAGAATTTGAAGGAAGATTTATTTATTGAGCTAATACCCAAAATAGTCCTAGACTATAGTAGTTTTTCTCAATTTCGTCTTAAATGACTTTGGTGACCTAATGTAGTCCCAGACTTTCGTGTTTTTGCTCACTATAGTCCTCCGTTTGTTAATCCGTCAAGTTGGTGTTAAATAGAAGGTCGATTTTGTAATTTCAATACTGTTTCAGTATTTTGGATTTCGCAGGTGAAGTAAAAAGAAGAAAGTATTGAAATTACATAATTGACCCTCTATTTAACACCAACTTAACGGATTAACAAACGGAAGACAATTGTGAGTAAAAACACAAAAGTTTGAAACTACATTAGGTCATCAAAGTCGTTTAGGACGAAATTGAAAAAAATCACTATAGTCGAGAACTATTTTGATATTAAGTCTTTATTTATTAGTTTTGAACTAAATTTGCATTTATGGGCTTGTATATGATTTTTTGGGGCTAAATGGGCTGCCAATATACAAATAATTCATGCCAAATTACATTCACTTTTGAATCATACATATTTTGAAGGTACAGAAGGTTTGTTTTGAATGTCTTCAATTGATACTCAACTAGATTAGCCCTATCTGTACTCAAAAAAAATATATATATAGCCTTATCTTGTAGGACTACATATATTTTAAGGTTTTTTTTTTTTTTTTAAATGTTATGACATTGTGTGTCTTTAGTACTCGGTACAATTATATAATTATATCATGTACTGAGTAAATTGATACCATAAAAGTTATCAAAAATTATATATTTAAAAATTGAGAAAAGGGTCAAATACACCATCAAACTTTTTTTAAGAAGTCAATTAGGCCCTCGAGCTTTTGAAAGTGACAATTAGACACATTAACATATGAATTTAGTGCATCAAAGCCCAAAACCCTAATAGTGACCTATAATAACATGTCAATAATGTACTGGCGAAGCTCCGGCAATATTCCGGCAAGTGCAACCTTTTCCGGTGACCAAACGACGGAGACGGCAACCAAACCGGTCGCCTTCTCCATCGTTGGAGATAGTGACCAAACCGAAAAAGATCATGCTTGTTGGAATGTTGCCGGAGCTCCACCAGTGCATTATTGACCTGCTATTGCAGGTCACTATTTAGGATTTTGAGATTTGATGCATTAAATTAATATATGTTAATATGTCTAATTACAACTTTCAAAAGTTCGATAGTCTAATTAACTTCTTAAATAAAATTTGATAGTATATTTGACCGTTTTCTCACAAAAAATTTGACCATAATTATTAAGAAAATAGCATAAATATAAATTTAACAGTTAATTACCAGGTAGTGTAATTGACATTTTGATTATTATTTTAAGTGGTTGGTAAATTTAAATCTAGATAGTGGGAATTTAAATTTTTTGAGCTGAAAATATTTGAAAAATTATTCATAATATAGTCGGACTAAATTGAAAAGTTGAGTTATTAAAAAAAAGAAATTGAAATAGAAATCTGAGACTGAGGAAAGAACCCACGAGACCCCAAAAGGAAAGGAAATACATCACAAGACCCACCGCGGCTGCACCGCTACCGCTACCGCCCCACTCTGAAACCACCGCGAGCGATGGAGGAGGAGGAAGGCGGAGGGCCGAGGCTGAGCAAGAGGTTCTCCGACAAGGACGGAGAAGTGGACTACAAGACCAAGGCCGGCACCGCCTGGTCTCACTCTTTCCTCAACCAGAAGCCCTGGCACCCTCTCTCTTACCCCAACCAGCGCCGAAAGTGGATCGCCGAGCAGACCCACTCCCAGAAGGAACGCCGCGCCGAAGAGATTTCCCGAGAGGTCTAACCCCTTTACTCCTCTACCAATTTTATTGCTCCCCAATTTATTCAATTTTTCAGAACAATTTCCTTCAATTCCAGCTATTTTGTTCAATTTTTCACTGAGTTTACTAATTTCCTGTCCTTAAAACCCTTTCCAGTATGCTCAAGAACAGGATTTTTTCCGTCAGACTGCTCTTGTCTCCAAGAAGGAGAAAGAAAAGGTAATACCTAATTCCCTCATTCACCTGCTTTGCAGTTCTTAGCTGATTATCATTCCTATTCATCTCTGTAAGAAGAAATTATACAAATATTATATCTTTGTGTTAAATGTAGATCTCCTTTTTATTTATTTATTTATTTAAAGATACATGTATAATAGAGCTTGATAAATGGCCGTTAGCTGATTTGGTTACTTGGTTTAACTAGTTGATAGCATTAGCTGATTGTAGAAAAATGTTTGGTAAATTAGCTGTTAGATGATACATACAAAATGACTTTCTCAAAAAGCTAATCTGAGCCGCTTTTTGAATTTTAGCATTTTGGAGCAGTAAATTGTTACTTAATCAAACACTCATATAGATTGTTTAACCAAGTCAAATAGCTAATAGTGGTCTAATAAGCCAAAATTAGCTGATAGGCTAACTATTTTACCAAACAGGGCTAAATTGAGTTTCATCTTGTTTTATTATAAGTTTTTCATGTATGCAAAGTTATGAGCATAGATATGCTGTTATATATGTAATCGTATGAAGATATTGATTTGGATTTTACAATGTTGTAGTTGGAGATGATGAAAGCTGTTAGTTTTATGTATGTTCGACCGCCCGGCTACAATCCGGAAAGCGCTAAAGCTGCTGAGGTAGAAGATGAGAGGAAAAAGCAGGAGCAAGTTGGCACTTCTCAGAGCCCAACTGCAGAGGGCGCTTCAGATTCAAAGTACTGTTGTTTAGCTGTGTCGATTTCAGTTTGAGCTTGTTAAAGTAGTAGTGAGAGTAATAGTTATAGTTATATATATATTTCACTACTTGCTTGAAATTGTAAACTTGATGAAGATTTTTCTTTCTGTTTTAGGAAGCCCGAGTCTATGCCTCCTATTGAAGAGAAAAAGAAACCGAGGCCAAAAGATGTCTTTGGCCGTCTCTTACCAACAGAAGAACAATTCGAAGTCCTCAAGAATGCTCCAAGGTCTGTTTCTTCTGCGATCTTTTTGATATCTGGGATTGCTATGGTGGTTTGTTTTCATTACCTGGAAGTTTTACGCTATGTGCATTTATAATTTAAGAAGTTTTGGGTATTTACCAATTTAACTGAATTATACTGGGAGATTGAATCTGTATCACTCCAAGAAGGTTGTCTAGCATTGTTGGACTTTATCGACCTTCATATTTAGTATTGTTGACTTGATTGTTGGTGAATATTAGCACACATATTGATTATTATAGCATTTCTCCAGACTGGAAACAGGTGCCCCTGCAAGGGTCAAACCTTTTGCAATTGAGATACGCAATGTCAAATGTGTACGATGCGGAAACTTTGGTCATCAAAGTGGTGATCGTGAATGCCCATTAAAAGATGCTATCATGCCAAATGAAGAGAGTCGATTGAAAAGAGACGACCCTTTAACAGCTATCCAAGCTCAGACCGAGTCAAGTGAGGTAATTGATCTGACAAAGTCATCCCGCCTTTCTTTTCGTATTCTTCTCAATCTATACTCGGGGAATTTATTGCTTCGTAATGGTTAGTGTTAGATCCATTTACTAAATCTTGTAATGCTAAACAACTAAATCTTTGTCTTGCTCTGCCAGCCTTTAAAGTGGGAACTCAAACAAAAACCCGGGTTGAGTCCTCCTCGAGGCGGGTTCAGACCCGATGATCCCAACCAGCAGATAGTTGCAGAGGACATATTTGATGAATATGGAGGTAGATTCTCTCAATCGCTCTGAAGATCTTTTTACGCTAGCGAGTATTTTGGATGCGTGAAATTCTGATATCATCATATATTAATACAGGGTTCCTCTCGACGGACAATATTCCTGACCTGCTGTCCAACTTCTCAAGCAAAACGAAGAAGAAAAAATCCAGTAAGAGTAAACACAGGAGGAGGGCCTCACCAGCCTCCAGTGATTCACGCTGCCATGAAGAAACCGAGTCTTCTTCTGATGATGATAGAAGAAGAAGATCGAAGAAGAGACATAAAAAGAAGTCACGAAAGCATTCCGAGTCAAGCTCATCATCAGAGGGCTCCGACTCTGACAGGCATCGAAAGAGAAGTACCAAACGGAGGCACTCTCGCCCTAGTTCATCTCGCTACTCAGATTCAGCCGGGAAACATAAGAGGAGAGATCACCACCACCACCACCACCACCACCACCACAGGCGCCACCGTGATCATCATTCTGATTCTTTATCAGAATGACATGCATTACAATTTCATGTGCAATATGCAAAAAATGGCATTGATTAGGCCATTGGATTGGCTAATAGTGTGTTACATCTTACTAGTAGTTCTTAAAAACATGGGGGCTGGTTAGTATGAAAAAAACAAAATTTCAATTTATATCTATTTCTCCACTTTTTACACCTGTTTTAGTTCTCCCCAATGGGAGATTGAAGTTGGAGAAATCAGAAAAAAAAAAAGTTAGTGTCATAATGTTGTTCAAAATTTTAGGATGTTTATTAAAAAAAAGGGATTTTAATCATTTTATTAAACTACTTAGGGTAGTGACTTTATAACTATATTTTCAACATACTAAAACATAAAGAGTCTGTTCTTCACAATCTACTAGAACATAAAGAATTAATACCGACGGGCTTTTGATATGGGAGAATCATTTTGTACCACTAAATTACTTTTTGTCACTAGATTATAATGCCATTGGCGGTTGGATAGTAAAGCGGTCTAAGTTTGACTCCTCAGAGATGTAAGGTTCCATTCGATTTCTCATGAGCGCTCTAAGTTTGACTCCTCAAAGATGTTAGGTTTCATTCGATTTCTCATGAGCATTGGTTTCATTCGATTTCTCATGAGCGCTCTAAGTTTGACTCCTCAGAAATGTTAAGTTTCATTCGATTTCTCATGAGCGCTCTAAGTTTGACTCCTCAGAGATGTTAGGTTTCATTCAATTTCTCATGAGCGCTCTATATTTGACTTCTCAAAGATATCAAGTTGGTCAAAATAATTATTAGGAAAATAATTACTAAATTTTAAGTTTGATAATTTAAAATTATTTATTAATTTTTTATTTAAATTGAACATTTTCGAGTAATGACTGCTATTTTTTATTTTTTATTTTTTTTAATAATAAGATATGAAAAACCCTACCAAAGACCCTTGCTGCGACATTTTCGCGGGCGAGACTGCGAGGCCACTCAACACTGTTTTTCACTCTCTAGGGTTTTTGCATTCACTGAGAAAAACATGGCCTCATCAGCTCGGATTTTCGGGAAGGGTTGCCGGATTCTGATGGCCGCCGCGAAGAGCTCCGCAGCTACCACTGCCACGAAAGGCAGAGGCCGTCCTAACGGAATTCTGAAGCCGATCAAGGTCTCCCCGGCTCTCGAGAAGTTCTTAGGTGCCCCTGAGGCCTCTCGTACTGACGCCGTCAAGAAAGTCTGGGAATACATCAAAGCCCATAATCTTCAGGTTCCCCATATCTCTCCATCTCCGTCTATATATTTATTTATAGCACTTAGGGCTTTAATGGTGTTATGTGCATAGAAAAATGTTCAATCTTTTTACACGGTGTAAAATGTTTGAAGCTCATGGTACAACACAACTGATGAACCTTCAAAGTTCAAAAAGAACAAAACTTTAACCTAAAATCAAAGATTTGAAATCATCCAATAGACATGGCCGAACTTTTTCAATATGCTGTTTAATCTGCTGCTGGTTTTCTCATAGTTAGCCTAAGGAGAAATGAATCATTATTGGACATTTTAAGGGATGTGTAAATTGTAATTGAAGAAAAGTTAATAGATAAATGCCTATATGGCAGAATGAAGGCTAAAATCGAGCTCTAATATGCAGAAATGCAATGCAATTGAATAGAAAACTTTGAATTACTTAAAAGCTTGCGAAGCTATCAGCTTTCTCGGTTTCTCCTTTAGATAGTTTGCCAAGAAAGCTTGCGTCTTGCTGATACAACCCTGAGGTTGTATGGGTTGCTCTTCTTCGAGTCAAGAGCCAAACTCCATGGCTGTGCTTCGAGTGACAGCCGAACTCCCATTGACTATACTTCGAGTGATAGTCTAACTCCCAAAAACCAGACATCCATAAATATATTCTTCATTGATATTCTCCAAATACACATGTAGCTATATATATATACATGATCATAGAAAGTTAGAGACTATCCACTACTCCTATACCCCACTACTTGTATAACTACCCATTATTCCACTATAAACTAAACCACTAATAATAATAATAATAATAATAATAATAATAATAATAATAATAATAATAATAATAATAATAATAATAATAATAATGCTACTCCAGTGGTTGTATCACTTGCCTTGCTTTTCTTAGTAGAGTAGGATATAGAAGTCCAAATGAACAGAGGGGAGTGTTTCTATTTCCATTGCTTTGTTTAGTGTTTCCCTTGCCATCATTATAATTCTCCTATCTGATAATTTGCAGAATCCCGCAAACAAGAAAGAGATAAATTGCGATGAGAAGTTGAAGACTATATTCAGTGGCAAGGACAAAGTTGGGTTTCTCGAGATTGCTAAGCTGCTAACCCAGCATTTTCCCAAGGCCACTTAAACTTGCCATGTACATGTGCTGAGAGTAGGGGTAGGGGATAAAGAGCTTACTAGTTTTGGATGTAACCTTTGAAGTGGGCTATTATCTTTGTTCTGGATTTGATCCGCGTTTTTTGTTAACAGCGTAGGACACGATGATTGTGAGCGTTGATTCGCCATGGATGCTTGATTATGTGCCCATCTTAATGACACAACACAATTTCAAGTAATACATTTCTTGCTATTTGAATTCTGTTGGTTGATTTGGATTGAACTTTGCATTGTTCTTGCTTGTGGAATCATGAAGCTCAAGGCTGATAGCCACCCTGCCTGCACCAAAAGATGAAATCTGGTTCATTGCCCTCAGTTTCTGAGTCTTTTGGAAATAGGTGTTCAGTTAAACTTGTAGGCAAATGTGTCATGTAGATTTTTTAATATAAATATATACAGAGCGTTTTTAAATTTGATAAATGTGTTTATAGATTTTGAAATAATCTGCAAATCATACAAAGAGCTAAACTGTAATTTTGAAAACCTTGTGTGGTAGGCTTGATTTAGAGGATGTTCATCAGATCTTTTTCTGTAAAAATCATGTTCTATTTGTGAGCATATAGCCATTACTGTGTATCCCACTATCAGCTTAAGCTTTTAGTTGAGATGGAGCACATGTTTCAATTTGGTATCAGAGCCAGACCAAAGGTCATGGGTTCGTAACTTAAGCTTTTAGTTGAGATGGAGCATATCCAGTAATGGCTATATGCTCACACTATTCACTCCGTTTCCTTTTCTTGAGACAACATAAGTATTTTGTTTTTTTGTTAAGATTATTGATTGATGTTTTAAGAACATTTGACCATGTCAAGGATTTCGTGGTTCGGTAGCATCAAGTTGTTCCCTCGTATCGGAGGTCATGGGATCGAGCTTCAATGGAGGCGATGCTGTTCCCTCGTATCGGAGATCGTTGGATTGAGTTTCATTGAAGGCGATATTGACTCAAAAATAATTATCGAATGAAGGCGATATTGACTAAAAAATAATTATCGAATGAAAGCAATATTGACTCAAAAATAATTATCGTTATAACTGGACGTTAATGATGAGTAGAGTAATTATACTTACAACAAAACTCTATAATGAGTAGTTGTACTTACAATGGGATAAGTAATTGTACTTAAAATAAAATTCAATAATAAATACTCCATAATAAACAAGGATTCATTACAACAAAATTCAATATATTGTAACCTATGATCATTTGATTCCTAAATATATTCCCTCCCTCCACTTTAACGTATAAAATAAGAAGTTTCGATCCTCGGATTGGCGGCCCACGCAAGCTACGGCAGTACGACGACGACCCAGAAAAATTCTTTACCCATTTTTACTCTCAGCTCACTTTCAGCACTTCTATCTCTCTATCAAGACAAAACAATGGCTGCTGCGCATCAGGAAGTAGAGCACCTTGATGTCCTCACTAAAACCGGTGAAAAAACAGGAATCTCAAAGCCAAGGTATGCAAACTTCGATAATGAATTCACTGAATTTTTGGTCAAAATATCATTTTTCTTACTCACTTGTTTTTAAATAAGATAATTGGATTCTCAACCTTTTTAGACATTTAAACTAACCCAGTACTATGATATTCTTGAGATTTCTTGTTACAAGGAAGAGAGAATAAGAATTTTAGTTCTGTTTGGTCTATCTTTCTTCCACTTTGGCAATTTTCATTGTTAGGAATTAAGGAAAAGTCAAAGGTGTATTGTGCCTTTTTAGTTGTCTTAATTCTGTGGTTATTGCAGCATTTTACAGTGCAATAGCGATTGAGAATGATGGGTAGTTTAACAGCTTACTGTTATCTGGTTATGATCATTTTGAAGCTTTATTTTTTAGAACGTCCTAACTAATGTTTGATGTGTATGTAATATGGTAGTATATGGTCAAAGTTAGGAACTTTATGTCTGGGCATGTTAGTATACATTACTTTTAGGATCAAGCTTTACCTATTATGATTTTTTTGGGTAATGATTTCAATGTGTTTCTTTCGTGCTACTTATGCAGAGGGGATGTACACAGAGATGGGGATTATCATCGGGCTGTTTACGTGTGGATATATGCTGAAAGCACACAAGAGCTACTTCTGCAATGCCGTGCTGACTGCAAGGACTCTTGGCCTGGTCGGTGGGATGCATCAAGTGCTGGTCATATATCTGCTGGTGATTCGTCTCTGGTTTCAGCTATGTAAGTTTATCCATTCAGTATGCTTAACTTATGGAAATAGCTTGGCCCAAATTGGCAGGCCTTTGCTGGACATTCCCTTGAGCTTTTGATCTCTGGATGAGAATTGTTTATTTTAGGCATGAATTTTGTCTTAAATTGCATCATTTACATTCTCTTCCCTAGTATCATCATAGTAATGATGAATAACATTCCCACAGTTCTGTAACTTTCAAGTGTTTTTCTCTTCCCAAGTTGTTGGGATATGCTTGTTGTTGAAATGACCCTTTAACCTTCTTGTAGGAGGGAGCTTCAAGAAGAACTCGGTATAACACTTCCAAAGGATGCATTTGAATTGATATTCTCCTTTCTTCAAGAATGGTTAGTAGATGAAACTCCGAGTTATCCCTCATATAGTTTTTTGTCAGACATTTGTAGTGTTGTGTAAACTTCTATAGTTATGCATCTTATCCTTTTTTTTTTTTTTTTTAATTTGTTAAGACTCTCCCTTTATTGAAATACAGAAGCTCTGTTTTTAATGTTGAATGTTTAATTGGATTT